CTACATGCATTTTGCTTCCAGTGAGGTCAAGGAGCTGCAGATAAGGAAGCTATGTTTAGCACTTCTGAAAATCCCACAAAAGGAACACCTGATATATTGTAATACCAGCAGACTTCAGCGTGTTCTCTGCATCTCTGAGGCACCCAGAACAGAGAGTGAGACTCTGCAGGTCTCACCTCAGACCAGACAAGCTGCATTATCCTTTCTAAGTAAGTGCATTTCTTAGGAATAAGGTATTTAAGAACATACATCAGCTACACGCATCAGCCACACTCACATCCCCGTTGCAATTCCACTGAGAACAGATGTCTCCAGCTCAGTCCCAAGAAGGAAGCGGGAGCCTCAGCTGTTCTTTAACAGGCCCCAGCAGCTGCTCGGCAACACAACCCGCTCAAGCTAAATATGCCACATGTCCAAGTGAGGACATTGCTCCCTATGCACTCTCTTGCCAGAATTTTCTGTTTATTCTTTTGACTTAAATTTTCAGTATACAGGACAGGAAGTCCTTAGGCCATAGTCATGTTCTGCCTCAGTTGCTGCTCTCTATTCTGTTTTGCAACCCGTTTGAACAGATTTCCAACTGTGCCAATATCTAGCCTTAGCAGCTTGCCATCCTGCAGCAGAGCCAGCAGACAAGAACTGTGCACTATTCACCTCTACTACGAAAGATCTGCTTGGACATGCAATTAAAGTGATGTCCCAATTCTTCTTTTTCCTCCCCCACAAACATGTAGCTGTTAAGTTTTTATCTGAAGTTGCTGAGGTACTTGATAGCATCTTTAAGAGAATCAAGGTAACTCCAAAATGCAAAAATTGTATCCAAAAGACAAGCACTGAAGCTAGATTTCCAAATCAATTCCGTACTTCGTTAAATTTTCAAAGCAGCTGAAAATATGCTCTTGGGTACCAAAGGCTTTAGCAGAACATCAGTGCCCAAGCCTACTAAAGAGGCTTTTGGTGTCAGGAGATATCATACAAATAACTTTGTTTCTTAGGAAGTCTGTTCCCTGTGAACACTCATGCAGATTTAATCTCCCCTCCCCTTCCCTCCTCTCCCAGGAAAGTAAGGACACCCATCACGAGTTTACCCAGTCAGCATCACCTGCATGCAACATGTCTATAGTTCACATCTTCATGCTTCAAAGCCAAATTTGCATATCTGTTCCTCTAGAGAGACTCTCTCAAATCACATTATCAGACAAAACCACCAGCTTTACTACTGGTTTGTTCTCATGGCACCTGCAGTTATTTCCATCTGTTATGAAAAAAAAGAATCAGAGCAAGCTGTAAAGTAATAAACAATTTATTTTTCTTTACACCATTCTTTATGAAAATAACTTTTTTTGAATTTTGCAATTCAAATTTCTTGTACCGTATATTGTTGATTTCTAACATGGCACTTAAGGGAACATTCATTTAAACAGATACACAATTTCATGAAAGCAATTAATTTTCCATTTCTCAATTAAACGTGACTGAATGTACAACTCTGTCAAATTTAAGACCATTCATTCATTCCTGATGTCTTAAGGAAGAAAAAAATATCTTTCCCTTTCTACTGAAATATCTTACCATGTTTACAAAGACTGAGGGAAAAGGGAAAATCTTTTACAGAAGACACCTAAAGGGCAACAAAAAAGTCCTTTTTATTGTTTACATAGCTGGTAAAAAAAAAACCCACCCACCGAACAATCTGATAACACTGGATGATAACATTACCTGTACACATGTACAGATAAAGCCGAAATACTGTGCAGTTTTAATAGCTAGAGGTGTCGTGCACCAATTTTTTGCCCATTTAACAGAAGATAATAGAATGTTTTAAACAAGTAACCAGAAGTTTCACTGGAAAGCCATGCATATGCGTATGAAGATGGAGAAAGATTCTGCAAGATGCAACTCTGTGGTTTGGTTGACATCATTACAGACTGGGAACTATGCATAAGGAACTCTGCACATGTGCATGACCTTAAAGTTAAAAAATAGTCTTAGCAGTCTTTATTTGCATGAACAGGGCAATTTCCTACTAAGTGGCTGGCATGAATGTTAAATCCTCATGCACTGTTTTGTAAGTTCACTCCTAAATACAACCACTTGGTATCTACGCAGTTCAGCTTTCACAGGCCACTAAGTCACACTACCTTTGCTTGGTTTTGTCTGGTTTAAATACTGCCTGTGTATCTTGCATGTCCCTAACTAGTTACTACTCTTCAAAGTTACCAGATTAAGCACTGCTAGAAACCCAATAGTCACCCAATGACATTTGCTACAGCAAGGCAAGCTTCCCCTGACATCGCTTCCTGCTACATACATCTCATTTTTGTTCTACGTAGACTTCTAGTGGTCAGAGGTTAGATACTTCTGCAATTTTTTGACCTTTTAACTAAGGCATCGGTAATGATGCTTAACAAAATGAAACCATCAGCTGGGAACTTGAGTATAACAGTATCAACTCATTTCATATTTGCAAGCTAACAAAATACCCAGAGGCAACACGATTTCCGTAAGCCTCCTAACATTCATGTATTGGATTCAGATAGTGGCATAAGAAACAGAGCTACTTTAGTTTTACTGCACAATTGGGTAACAACTGACATAATGAAACACAGCCACACACACATTTAACCATCTACACAACTGTAAAAAAGAAATGGTCTTGTAACATTGCAGGTCATGTTTTGGCAGCTAGAGAACTTCCTGAACAGTTGCCCTAAAGTTTTGTCTTCACAACCTAAAGACTTCAATGAAATCCGTCTGAAAACAGCTCCCAAAGTCATACGACCAGTTCACAGTGAAGACTCAAAACCAGGAATAATAAGACTTGTAGGAATTCGGTAGGTACATATTTCCAAATTCTTCACCCTTAACATTTCAACTGTTGACACTGGAAGGAAGATCTTCAGCTTAGAAAGATTTCACTTAACACTTGAAAACAAGATTAAAACAAAAAAAAAGTTGACATTACAGATTGATGTAGAGACCAGCTCTTTCAAAACCAAGACAGCTTAACTAGAAAATTAGAAAACCTGGTCCCATTTTTATATTCAAACACTGATAAGTGAGAAAAAGCATACAATACATGCAATAATATTAAAAACCTGCCTAATAAACTCAAGTACACAATGAAGAATAACTAGGGAATAAAAAAACCCACACTACTGCTTAAAATAGACAAGGTACAGGACATTGTAGAAGACAAATAACATACAAATCAAGATCATCACACCATGTGTCCCTCATTGGTAAGGATTTGTTGGCTAATTAAAAATTATGTCATATAAGAAGATGCATACATTTTATATCAAAAGTAGTCCTGTAAGTTACAACATTCACTGATTAAATATTTCCCTTCCAGATAAATTGACCGATAATATGCTTAGAGAAGGCTACAAATACGTTCTCAAAAAAAAAAAAGTGCTGTGAAACAGAAGCAGGATTTCTCCCTGCACACACTTCTTTTCTAAGACTATTACATGAGTATACCTGATAAAGAAGTCCTACTTGTACTCAGAAAACCAAAAGAAAACACACAAAGCAGAAGCTTGATGCTCTTGACCATTCCCAACCACCAGTTTTGGTTTTTGCTAATTAACCACTTCCCCAGAGCTGAGCAATTTGCTGCCTAGTGCTTGAATGCTAGTTTTATGATGAGACATCCAGACACAACATTCAAGTCAATCCAACATTCTGAAGATCCAACAGCTCAGGAAAGATCATTGCAGAAGTCCAGAGAAGAAAGCCAGCAAGAAAGAAACCTTCCTCGTCCTCAGAACCACTTAAGAGTATTGCTAGTCATCAGGTAAGAAACAATGGCCTTGCAGTCACACTTCCATAGTCAGAAACACTACAGCTAAACACCCCAAATGTTTCCTTACAGCCGTCTTGTAGGACATGCAAGCAACACTGACAGCAAAGCTGAGCACACTGAGGGAATATGGCATTTTTCTGCTGGAAAAGGATCTTGAATTTCTGTGTCCATACTGTGACCTTTATGTTCCTTTGATTGATAAATACTTGTTTTAGGAATCCTATCGCTACCACTATTGTACAATAACTACACATTCATGCAAAAACAATGCTATGTTTCTTCTTAAAGATCGAGACTTCATCTTATTTTAAGCCCTAAATAGGAAGAAGTATTTAAGTAAAATAAAAGTGCCTTCAACAAATATACAACTAATTAGCCACTAAAACATGGTGCTCCTGTGACAAGCTCCATTCTTCTTCCGTAACAGCTGGGTTTTGGTTGTGGCTTTTTTGAGACATTGCAATCAAAGAAGTGATTAGAAATAAAATTGACTAAACAGAATTTGATCTATAAACCCCTTTGCATTAACGAGAGCCTTTATCAACACAGCTGCCCAGAAAACCATAGATGATGTTTGATATCACTGTTTCAGTACACACTGAACATTCAGTGACAAATAGGTACTTATTTTACCTTTACTTTAAGTACATACACCCATGTCTTCTGTTTGATGATGCATTTCATGTCACTTCAGGAAAAGACAAAGGAATGTCGAAGTTCTTCCTGTGCTTCATTCCATGCTTTTCTAGTTTGTGACCTCAAGAATGGCTAGTTTATTCAAGGACAACATGATGAAAGCCATTTATTGAACCAACCTGAAACCAAAAAATATGATGTCCTCCTACACTGAACCCGCACTACCAAAAAAACTCCCACGTGATTACATCAAAAAAACACAGAATGGCAATGAATGTGGTAAACAGAGTGTAGACTTTTCTTACTACCAACAGTGCACTGCAGGAACACAACTGGCAATTCAGCTGATTGACTAAACTGAGACAGATATTAAGTGCTCTGCATACAATTCCATGAACATAAATGTAAACAGAAGTGTTCGGCCTCCATACAAAGGAATATTTCTGAAAGTGCTGGGGTTTGGAAATCTGTCCTGCATATTTCCAAAAGTAACTAGTTTACATTCTGTTTGACAGGATTAATAAAGTGTTTTGGAGGTTAACTCACTTTGGTCACGATCCCAAAGAAAAGTTTATGTTGAGTAGCTTCAACTATCCTCCTCATCATCACTAATAAGGTCTCTTTTTTCTACACACGTCTCTCGTTCACGTAGGAAATCCTCACGAATGGCTTCTAGTTCTGTTAGTTCAAGACGCACTTTCTCCAGGTGATAGGTCCTCCGGTTCCTGATCTGACGTAATGGAAAAGGATTCAGGTCTCCAAAAGCAATACCAGTCAGTTTCCTGTAAGATTAGACAGTATTAGAAGACAATAATTTTATTTGTTGTTTTTTAAAAGTCAGTTTTGAACTTCATCCATATCAATATTTAGCATATGGCTGCTATCTCTGGTCTCCTTCACATACCTGACAGGTCTCAGATGTTATCAGTATTGCAAGAAAGTCCTATAAAGCACTCCGTTTTAACATTATTTCAAGTGATAAAGTGTTATCAAATGCTCAACAGTTCGCAAAGCCACCTGCAAACTCTGTATAATGCTATAGCGATTACAGCCTTGACAACACTGGACTGAAGTACAGAAGAGTATCTAACTGGTATTTACTCTCTGCTTCAAAGTGTATCTTAAAATCGGCTGGAGTTACGTGGCATCAGCCTGCGCATTAATGATGCATAAAGAGATCTAAACCTAGTGGGTCATAGCTCACGCTTTTAATACTTGAGCCAGGATGTGTTGTTATTTATCGCAAAACATTTTACAACCTAAGTTGTACCTGCAATGCAGAGGGAGACTTCACATAGGGCTGAAATTCTTAAGTGTTGCTACCATGATATAACTGCTAAACAAGACCAACCTGGCAAAGTAATCTCTATCATACCTAAAAATTTACAATTATGCATTCATCACTTGTGCTTTTGTCTCCGCTAGATAAAACTACTCATGAGAAATCTTAGTAGTTAGTTTCATCTCTAGTTGCCTTATATCTAAATTAAGATCTAGATAGAAACAAAACACCCACGACAGACTTCTTTCATGCCCCACTACAAGTCTTTCAATTACTCACAAGTTTGAGTCACCCACCTAGCATCAAGTATAGTGCGCGTGAAATATCGAAGGTACTTGAAAATAGACATTGAATCTTGCAGTTTTAAGATTTCCTCTTCTTTGTATTTAAAAAGTGCCAGGGCAAATCGGAATATCACCTGATAAAAATACACACAATGTTTGTTTTTTCATAAGAACACAATGCACTGATTCTCATTATTATCTATTATAAATTCAAAGGAAAAGCGTTACTCTTTCTGCATGCTGCATTTGTGCTATCTAACCACACCTCCCTATCTCCCTTCCCTATCCCCCATTTCCAAAAGCTGCCAAAAACATCTGCTGTGGCTCGTAACCAAGACAAGGTGTTCTGCAGGTCTATCCAGAATACAATATTGGGTTTATAGCATACAAATTCTTTGAAGTTTTGAGTTCCTAATTCAGTTGTAGAACAAAGACTGCTGGCCCTGTTGAATGCATTTATTGTTACTTAGTTTTAGCTCTGAAGTTTTGCTTATTAAACAGGTGGTTTAGCAAAGCCTTGAATTTCCCCAACGTGCTGGGGGACTGATGCTGAAGAAATTTCTGATACCAGTTTGTCAATCAACTTTGGCACGAGCTAGGAGTAGCATTACTTCCCTTCATTCTGAAAAAGCTTCAGTAGGTTCTGCACTTCGTCAGTCCGTACCTGGCTGCCTTCACAAAATGCCATGTTACCTAAAACTGATTTGAATGAACACACAGCCAAAATATCACTCCATGTTAGAATGCTCAGATGAGGCCAACAAGAAATCTAGCAAACACACAATTTTTGCCTACTTAGAACTCTCTGTTCTCTCCAGTTGCCTACATCATCTGCTTCAGTATTATCGTGTTTGAATCCAGGGACTTTTTTCCTGCATTGGTTTTATTTCACTGCAATTCAACAAGTATGAAACACATGAAAATTCTTTCACCCCCACCCCTTAATTTATGAGACAGGAGCCCAGACAGTCGTTGTTTGTCAGTTGTACTTCAAATGTCTGCAGAAATAAAGCAAATAGTTGCTGCAGAGGCAAGCTAAACATTAGTACTTGGTTGCAACTAATTTTTACATCTTTATAGTACTTCTAACTTCTGCCTCCTTCACTTAAGTTTTCTTCTTTATAGGAGTAGTTCTCATTTTGATAATTACTTAAAACTGATAGACAGCTGCACATAGGAGTAAGCAGCACTGCCTATGGCTTTATTTTTCAAAGGTTAAAAAAAGATACTGTGTGGTGAAAGGAAAATAAACTTAGCATTTAGAATTCTTCCATGTAACTCAAGCTTTCAACTTGCAGAACACCAACAAAAATGGAAAATGTTTTGACTGGTTATCTATGCACATTTCCTCCCTTTTTTCCCTACCAGTGATTTTAACTGACAGGATTCTTCTGAAACAACCTTCCTCCGCCCTGCACTCATAACACCACAGTATTTTGTTACCAGGTAACAATCGAAAAAACTTAGCTCTTTCAGTTCACCTTTGGTCCCTCATATAGGAAGGAATCCCAGATTTTAAAAAGGATGTCGCTAACCACACTGTCCACAAATACCACGAGAAACCAGTTGAAAGTTATAAGAGTATAGTCAACTTTGTATTGTTCAAAATGAGCATGCAGTCGTGGAAGCTTCTCACTCATTAAATCCTTGAATACTCGCTGATCAACCTAAAGAGATGACAAATACGACATTATTGCTCCTAACTTTCCAACAAATATGTCATTCCAAGTAGGGCTGTTACCAGTCTCTAAGTGCACGTTTTCCAAGAGCTAACCAGGAAATCCAGGGCTGTCTAGTTAACACTTCTAAGCTAGATCCACCCAAAATATATGTGGCCACTCCAATGCATACTGCCCTTGCTGACACAACCTTTTGCTTCTCAGTCCACACCCAGTCTCACGGGGCTCCTCACACAGAGATGCTGTGTTCCTACCACAGGTCACTAGTGCTGCACTGGTGCAGGAACGCCTGAGCAGAGAACAAGCTGGGGAAAGACTTGGAGGGAGGAGGCAGCACATACTACAGCATCACCTGGAAGCAAAGGAGTGCTACAGCGTATACTGCTCACAGTAGTGCAAAATGCATTCTCGGCCCCACGCTCTGAGCGCCCATAACTCCCCTCCCCCCCAATTTTGAGGAAAGACATGATAAATCAGCTCAGTCAATGCTGTGAAGCTAATATTCAGAAGGGTTAAGGAGTGGAGCTCCAAGCAGCCCACTGAACAGTTATTTCAGTGTTATACTCAAGAGTCTTGTCCAAACAAGGGCTCTGGTGCCTGGAACTCACCTCTGTCAACTCAACACATCTCCCAAAAAGGCCTATCAGACAGTTTTAGAGGAAAGTTTTTTGGCTGGCTGCAGTCTACAGGACCAGGCTTTATTTTGGCAGAGCACATACCTGAGATCCTAGAAGTGTCTTAGTATAATAATCACGAGGCATGAAAACTTCTACTATTGTTACTAGACACCAAAAAGCATCTTCCTGTTCCAAGTACAGAAGTGCAATTGCTACCAATCTGAAAATAGAGTTTAATTTGGAGACAAAGATTATTATAGTATCACAAAATGTACTACGAACAATTACAACAAAGCCTTTGTTTCTGTCCAGCTGCGAGAAGAGTATTAACAAGAGTGCACTAGACAGCAAAACTGTTAATGAAGGGCAGTGAGACGCCTTCTCAGCCAAGTTTACATTCAGTTAAATAAGAAAACAGATAAAAGCAAAAGCGAAGTGATTTCCTAGAAGCCATTTTTCTAGGAACTAAGGCAACATAATTAGCAGCTTTCAAGCCTTAAATATACTACTCCAGTAAGGAAAGACATGAGTCTGGGAATTGAAGAGGAGAAGGAACAGATCGTTCTTGCATTTCACACAAAATTGTTGTAAGTTTAGAAAAAAATCCTTTCTAGCATATTTACTTTATATCCATCAAGATAAAAGTAAGTAGCACTTTTTGTCTGTATCTACCATTGTCTTTTAAGGAAAAGAGAAAGTGTGCGCGTGTGGATATTAAACAGCAGCATCATTCCCAGTTTTCCTGTTTCCAATGAGTAGTATGAAAGAAAAAAAATAAATAAAGCGGAGAATAACTTCATGTTGCTGATAGTCGTTTGAATATGAACGGTAACCTCCAATGCATTTCTCCAAGTAAACTTGCTTTACTTCTGTATGCAAGAGGAGCTCTAACACCACCAACTGCTTCTGATGGTACACAGCTTAATAAGGTGATCATGCTTTAAAAGCTTAAGAGAATCAAAGCAAGGAATCAATATTTAATTTGCTTTTAACTTATGCAAGTATACCCAAATGCAGAATTTTTTAGAGTGAAGACAGAAGTAAAACCAAAAGCAAAAGTAAAATCAAGAGCGTTCCAGCAGAAAATACTGCACAGAAAGTTCAAGTTTAGCGAAAGCAGTTGTAACATCTTCTAGTCACCAGAGACATGTTGCTCCAAGACTGCAACAGCAGCGTTCTTCAGACATGTCTTGTGACATGCCAGTGACAATACTAAAAATGTATGATTTACCTACAGAACATAACCACGAGTGATGAATACTCAGAAAAAGAACACTTCTTATTACTACATTATTCACCACCTCTATTCTGCTACTGCTTCAGTGCAGTTTCAAATAAAGCCGCTCGAGTTCAAAAGTCTTTTACCCTATTCTAGACCATAAATTAGCACACAAATTGACATCTATAGTATATTACATCATATCTTGGGGATGAGGGGGGTGTTAGTCTAACACACCTGCTTCAAACACCTTCCTTTACTATGGATCTCAAACTACCAAAATTATTTTGGAAAGCTGATTTTACAAGTTTCATGATCCAAGTCTTCTGGGGGCTTGTTATTGTTTTTAAGAAACTGTAACAGTTGTTTCTTTAAACACTATAAATTACGAATGTACAACCCCGAAGGCAAATGGCTGTCCACAAACATGTTGCTATATGTGTGACTTGAAAGGCTCATTAAATGTTTCACTGTATAGTTCTAACTCAAGATTTGCAAAATCTTACCTGTTGAGCCCTTGGCAATATCCTATATCAGGATTTCTCCACGAAAATGCCAGCAGCACATTTCGCAGCTTCTGGATCCCTTCAGATGTTGGGGAAGAATAATGTTTGTTATTAGGCAAAGTTCTCAAGAGATCCAACTCAATTTGTTTAGATGCAGGATTTTGTTTTTCCAGAGCATTTTGAAGCAAAGTTTGGAAATACCCAGGAACAGTGCTGTCCTTGAACTTTTTAACATGGAGATTGACACACCATTTCCATATCTTGGAACGATGCTCATGTGGAATTCCAGATCGAATAAGATTCTTCAGTTCTACACAGCGCATCATCTCTCTATTCATTGTGCTTGCAAGATAGTTTTCCCATTTTACCCCTGTGGAGATCTCTCTATTTTCACTGAGAGAAAGCGATCTCAGGTCCAAAGCTCTTGATTTTGCTACTAGCTTCTCCTCATCATCATCCTCTGGGACCGTCTGAAAACCATATATATCATATTCACTGAAGTGGAGGGGGGAAAAAAGAAAAAAAGCCTTTTAAAAATGTGTTCAGTAGTCCTGAAACTCTCAAGTTCCCATCCTAAAGTTACTTGAAATATCCCTCAAGCCACTCGCCATAGTTTAAGTTTGAACAATTATTATTTAAACTTTATTTTTCTAAAGTATACCCTTTATTTAATAATTATTTTCATCATCCCATATACAAAAGGCTTTGTGCCCATATTCCAGTGCGTATTACTACACAGATTAAGCTGTTTAAGAACATGGTCAAGTTCAAATGAACCCATGTCTTCAGTAGCTCACCTTCAGCAGCTAAACAACAATATTTGAGTCTAAGTTTTATACTGTATCTCAAGTAAAATAATAAAACTATTGGCACAGCCAAAAGGATTTCATTATGACACTGTTCTTCATAAAGGGAAATACATTAAAAACCCCAAGTCCTGCAAATACATCCCCACCGTCTGTTTTCCAGTGTTAGAACCAGGCCCACTGACCAAGACACACAAACATTTCTTTTAATAGGACCAAATTACCTGACCAGGTGTGGTTTGAAAAACGCTTGTTCTGGTTGTTCAGTAGTTTCTGCTTTCAAGGCGTCTTCCAGTAACTGTGTGATGACCTCACGAGCAGGACTCTGCTCCTCAGAACAAACAGGAGTTCTCATTTCTTGAAGCAAGATTAAGTATTTACTTTCTATCTGACAGAGTTTGGCTTCCAAGCTCGTATACTGCAGAAAACAATATATATTAAGTCTTCAGAAACTTACTTTGTACTACACTCCTTTTAACATCTGGCTCAATATTATTCTATTAGTTTATGTTGTTTAGAAACCTGTAAGTCAAGAACAGTCAGCTTTACTTTCCCATTTTTGTAGCACCAGAAAACATGAAGCAACCCTAATGCGTGGAAAATAAAGATTATATATGCATTTTATTACGGTACTGTAAAATTCTGGATATAAAGTACTTGGTAAAGAAACCTCAGACACTTGTGGCTTTTTACAGAAAGCCTTTTAAGGCAGAATAGTAGACCAGAGACTTTCTATAACATGTACTTTTACATGCGGAAGATCTGAGCAAGCTGTAATTATCGGTACATTGTACGAAGGACAACTCAACCATTTTGTGCTTTTAAAGTAGCAGCTTTAGTCTACGCATGTTTGAACAAAAAATTTACATGCAATTTTAAAGATACAAGTTAGGTAATAGCATGTAGGAATTGTAACACACCTCCATGCCAAAAATACAGCATTTAGACCTTGCCACTGTGTGCGTTGTTTCCAAAAAACCAAAAGCAAACCCTACTAAACCACAGCTACAGGTATCTTGCCTTAGCTACAGATATGTGCATATTTTCTTAACCCCAGGCAACGGCAATCTTCATTATTTGCCCGCAACTTCTCTACACACAAATTCATCTATACAGAAACACGCTTCCAAAGTTACATTCACCATACCGTAGTCATCCTTCATGCTCAGGAGGAAAAAGCTCTACTCGGTGACATACCAAATCCTTACACATCCTGCCTCTTGCATGCATCGAGAAAATTATTACAGGCTTAATTCTGCGTAATCAATGTTTTCAGAAATAGACATGTTTGTGTTCATAAGTTATGAAAAACTTCCACTGGTTAACATGATTTTAAGGTCAAAGACTTCTTTCACTAATCCATTCAGAAAGATTAGTCTGTAAGGACGGGTTTGGGGGGGACTTGTTTTTAAGCTATCCCATTTAATACATTTAAGTCACTCCATTTCCATACCACAGTTACATTCCCTGAGTAGCTTTACAACTGAATTTTTGAAAACTGCTTTAGACATTGCCAAAAAGAGAACATGCTGTGTTAGTCTGACCTTTGCCTGCCATTCTCTCTCTCTTGCTTCTGCATTTCTTCGTAGAGCAGAAAGTTCCAAAATCTCCTTATTTAAAAATTTATTCTGGGTCTTATAACCCTGAAGATTGTCCTGTTGATAAAAACAACAAACCGGATTTTTAATAAAAATATCTTACAAACAGCAAATGCCTACCAGAGAAAGTATACCTTAGGATACAGAACAAGCAGTTACTAGTAGGACTTATCATTAAAAATTACCAGGATCACATCAAATATTATTTTTAGCCTTCACATAAGTCAAGCACGCTTGCCAAATATGAGCACAGAGGTGTACAGCGTGGTGCCGTGCCCCGCTTGCACCCCTTCCAGTGCTGCGCCCCCAGCAGAAGGCAGCGGGCCCTGCTGGCTGGCACCAGGCAGGCCCAGCCCGGGGAGGCTGCACCAGCAGGGAGGAAAACAGGAGCGTGTGCGCTGAACAACCAGAGAGGCCGTGGTGCTGCGCGTCGGCATGTACCACGCGATACGAGAAGCGGGAGCAAAGGCCCCTTGTGTTTTGGTTACCCTCTCCAGCCCTCGTTTGAAGTACCAGTTTGATGTCTGCCTCCATACAAAAATACAAATCCTTAGCAATAAGCTTCCTTGCCTAATCCACTTAGCTCCAGCCTACAAATACACCTCTGAAACCTGAGGCTGTACGATGAGGGAATGGTGGTAGCCTCCCAACAATTACAATGCTCCCACAATCCACAGAGTCTACAAGCTTTGGTCTGCTTTCTGCCAAGATCATTGATTTCTATTTTCAGTTTTATTTTCTACAACTTTCCAGGCTCACACATAGGAAAGAAAATGATGATTGTTTATACATATTTTAAATGACCGACTGGTATGCCAAATCCCTTGGAATGTTAATCAATTTGGAATACAACATTTATCCAAAGGCAAGAAAGCGTGTTTAGAGCAAGGTGGGTAATTTCAGTAACACCTTTAAGAACTTCTGATGCATTCACTGAGGTAGCTTAGAGGAAAAAAAATGCATTGATAACATCTGGAGCAGCATTAGTAAAACAGGTTCTTACACTCCTCCTCCTTTTTTCTCCTTGGAGCTCCCCTTTGCCGTCCCACATGCTCTTTGTTTCCTCGTTTTTGATATTTAAATTTTTTTTTTTTTTAAAAAGCAAGCTTTATGATTGATTTTCTCCATGCTATTTTACTCTTACTTTTCCTGTTCCTTTGATTACTTCTCACATCACTCCTCCTCCACACCAATGATTAAGTTACTGAAAATATGGGACATCGTACTGTAGATGTACAGACCAGCTTGAAGTATAAGAGTCCTGTTTGAGACTGCCACATAACAGTTCAAAGTGTAGATTCCAAGCAGAGAAAGCCTCAGTTGATGAATATCTTTGAGAACTGCTGTAATGATCCCCTCAAACAGTATAGCAGACTAGAAAGTAGTTTTTATAGGGAGCAGAGATTCCCCTATCCACCCAGACAGAGACAAAGACAGAGACCTTGCTCTTACTTTTAGCCTGTCCAGTTCCTGTAGTTCCTTATTAGTACAGATGGCCATGGAAGAATTTGCTGCTCCACTTTGAGAGGATGTATTGTCCTCACATTCGCTGAGTTGACGAGAGAGTTTCATGATCACTTCATCTTTAGCTTGAATAGTTTCCATCAACATACCCAGCCGCTCATTGAGTTCTCCAACTTTACATTTCAGATTCTTTACTTCCTGCTGGAGGCTATCTTTTTCCAGATTTAACTTTTCAAGCTGGTTGTTGAGACCCAAAATCTGGTCATCTTTTTGGTGCAACAGCTCTAATTTGTCTTTGGGAACCCCCTCACAAAGACGGCTTGCAAAATATTTATCATATTGGGAAGATCGGACTGTTTGCTGCAGAAGGCGCACAAGTTCCTGAGAATTTTAAAAAAGAAAGATTGTAATGAAGTTTTAAGTTTATGTTTTATAACTTAGAAATCTAATGTCAAGTAAAAGAAAGCTCTGGAATGGGTTTTGCATCTGAATCATCACCTTATAACAGGCTTCATGGTAGTGTTTTAAAGAAAAAAGGAAACACTCACATGACATGATTTCTGTCAGGCTAACCCCTGGCCTATACAGATCACTTAAATATCTTTCACTAAGGATCCTGCCTAGAAAGGCTACAACAGGTTTTGGAAGAATAGTTGGCAGCTGTGGCCCAACAGTTACTTGAAAGCTAAAAAAGGCTTACTTGTAAGAAGTCCTGTTGCAGTAAGAGAAATAGGAAGAGGGCTTAAGCCAAAAAAATTAAGATGTGAACATTACAGAACAGAAAAGGGAAAGATAACTAATTGCTCTCTTCCTTAAAAGATGCAGAGAAAATAAAGAGTAATGCAGAGAAAAAGAAGTAATACCTGTTGCTTTGCTGAAAAGGAAGTCTTTGGAGGGCTGCTTAGAAAAATCTTGCCACAGAATCAGCCCAGTAATTAACTGACTTGCCACAAGGGAGAAAAGGAGTTTCTGGGGTCTTTGCAAAAAAGACAGCATCGAACGTTCTGAACTAGAACTTATTTTTGAAAACACATCCAACAACAATTCTACCATTTTCATCTTCCATTCCCTCATATTAAAAAAGGACAAGTATCTTTGCTCACGGGATCGCATAGATTCTGGACAATTGCAACATCCATTCACTTGCACGAAAGATGTATGCGTTTTGCTTGGGGAATCATGGGTATACGCGCATAAGAGAAGCTGGGTTTTAAGGCAGTTACACTGATAGTAAAACCCTACTTGATTCTTTGCTGGAATGAGATCTTACTATGACATTCAAGAAGTGAAGGCTGTTACACGCAAATAAGTCAAAGAGAAATTTAAAAGACAAGAAATACTATAAAAAGAAGAGTTTGCCTTAGCTACTACCAAAAGCTCTCTGCAAGCTAGGCTTAAAAAACCCCACCAAAACACGCCACCACACATAAAACAAGAAAAAGAACCAACCAAAAAATCCAAACAGTAACAAACAAAACCAAAACCAAAAATGACACACAAGAATATATTCCAGACCAACAATAAACACTAAGAAAGCAAGAACAGCAGACTGCTCACTTACAAGTCTCGCTACTCTGGATTATTACCTTTGCTGTTTCCCATGTTTGGTTAATGGTTTAACACCGTGGAACTGTGGGAAGGTAAATTCAACCCTAGAAGCATTTACAATACTTACCAATGAAACTGGGATTTTTTTTTTAATTATTTTTTAAATGGTTCTGTGACACTAATTCAGAATACAAGGACAGAAATACGAATTGGTTTTATGGAATTCCCAAGAACTTGAGTGTTCAATAATGTATCTGGAAGTTTACAAACACTTGGAAAATCATAAAGATATACCTAGAATGAGCCACTGATTTTGAGAAATTCTTTCAGGTAAGATTTATGGTGAGGCCTATCATTTACAAAACCATTTGTGATGATGCAGTTAATAAAAGAGTGCAAGAGCACACATGAGAGACAAGCCAGTCCCCATTTCCCCACCCGCTCCTTCAGAATGAAAAGAAACAGAAACCAAATTAAAAAAAAGGACTCTAAAGGAGAAGTTCCTCAGGAATTACATGTATGATGTAATTACATTAATGGTGAAAGAAGCTGTGATTATCTGCCAGGATCCTGGCAGACACTGAGGAAGCTAGCTTCAGGTAATGAGATAGATATACAGGCCAAGTTAATGAACGCTGTACAAATGAAAGTTTTGTCGAGGGATCTAATCTTCAACAGATGTAAAATTTAGTCCTTCTTATTTCAAGGCTTTTTGTAAACAAAGGTTCACTTAGCACCATTATTTTATAACAACCAACCACCTCTTAATGCAGTTAGATGGCCACAAAGGGTAAACTCACAATCACCTGCCAGATCCGTTTGCTTTTGTGCACTTTGCCTGAAGGCTTAATTACCTTTTGACTCAAAAGATCTTTCTTTAGCTTTTCCAACTCTTCTTGCTGGCTTTGATACTTCAGCTGCAGTTCAGAGACTAGTTTGTTGCCATTACCAGAATACCACTCGGTTGGAGAAGAGTCACTGCTGTTGCGGTTTTTGCTTGATCCAATCATGTCTTTTAAGGGGCGCCTTGTTTTGTGTGGAATGCGGCCAAAATCGAATGGAAAGGCTGAACTAGTCAGTCCTGCATAAAACAATTTCTTCTAGTTCAGTTCACTTAATAAAAAGGCGTTTCAAAGCATTCAGATTTTCTTTTAAAAATATGGTCATTAAAATTAGACTCTAAGCAGCATTTAAACAGCCCAATACAATAGTGATAAACAGGCCTCATTTTCCAAGTCACTCACTTTGGTGGGAAAAGCATAGAGCTCAGTCTTCTCCCCTCCCAGGTAAAAGATTTAGCCCATAAACTAGTACTTGTGAAATAAGACATGAAGAGAACTTTACAATCATTACAGAGAATAAAAGGTATCCTAACTATGACAAAGTAAACTTTGCTTCAAATAATCAACAGCTCAGAAGTGATAAGAGCAAAAATGCCACTGATACCACAGCATACTGTTCTTTTAAGAGGCATTCAGTCTAAGGTTTCACCTCTATTTATATAACCACAGGAGTATTCTTAGAGAGAAGGATGTTTTATAACAGATTAGATCACTTGGATGTCAGCTGAAGTGCTCTTAGGGAGCTGTAAACATGTCTTCACAAGTTATTCCAGACGCTGGTCAAATGTGAGAACCAGTTACAATGCATAGATGAGCTATCACTGCATATGCATCCCTACTTTCCCCCTGCCATTTCAGAAGCAAGCCAATATAACATGTATATACATACTATAGAGTTTAAAGGCAATTCTGCTTCAAGGGGCGACACAACTGAGTACTCAAAAGCCTCAACATTTCCCTTCCTCCTGTAACTTTGCAACTCAACTGACAAAACTAGAGATGGTACCATGCTCAGGGGACCTAAAACAGTGGATAACAAGGGTCCACGCTTGTTCTATTGCATCTGAATGGTAGGGGACTCCAAACACATCATAAGGAAGTAATTTTTTCAACAAAAAGAATTTACAGAGCTCTGGATGTGGTTTGTGAAGAAAAGATAAGCCTCCACTTAAGATACATGTAACACCGTACACTAGACGAGAGAAGGTAAGGCATACGCTCCCCTTCCTTCCTCCCACTTCTACCTTTACTTCCTTCTGCCAGGTGTTTCCTCTTTTCCTCCAGGGCCATGGAGTCCTCCAAGTCTTTTGGGGTTGGATCCAGCAATTCCCACTCTTCGGTGGTATAAAATACGCTCTTGCGGTTTTCATTATTTCCTTTTCTTAAAGAGGACATTGAATTTCTGTGAAAAAGACAGCAGGAAGAGTGACAAAGATTTCTCCACTTTGCATTCTTTTTATAAAGGGGTTTTCAAGACAACCACTGCAGTTGAAACAGTGCAACCTAAAAATAAGCTAAAAACACAGACAAAACCAATACCTAATAAAAGCTCAAAGAAAATAAAGCATATCTTACTAAACAGCACCTGCTATCAATAGTGCTATGTTTCAAGAAAAGAATTAATTATTTTTAACAGAATATTAGTATCTACAAGACCACTGCTGGTCTTTTGTGTCATCTTCTGTTTTATCCTTGTTTTGGCAGTGGGGAAAAAAAAAAACCAAACAAAATGAAATTAAGATTTAGAAGCAGCTTCTCTTTATTGATCAGTTATTGTAGCTAGGAATTTTAGGATAACTGCCAAGCGTTAAACAGAACAGCATGCAGTCAAAACACATGTATGTTACAGTTTCGTATTCGGGATTAATGTCAAAATTGTGATCATCCAAGAGACCTGCTATAGCAGAATCGCTGATGCCAGACTCCTTAGCCGTTTTCCTGTCCTAAGGTGGAACGCTGCCAATTATCTGCAAGAACATTTCAGAGGCAACCTCTAAATTCCAGCCAGATAACTCCACAGAAGAACAATACGTTTCACGAGCAGGATAAGATTACCCTACCCAGCTTCCCCCACAACCATCATGCAATCAGAAATATTAAGTATGCACTTGTGTCCATGAGTATTAATGTAGTTCAGTATTGTAAAGTCTTTGGTCAACTAGAGAAGAATATTCTACATCAATCCATATAAATCAGTTTAACATTTTAGGTATAAAGTTGTAAATATATTTATTATCTCAGCATTTTCTACAGTCTGTGTAAGATGGAGGCCCACAAAGATGCTTTCACTCAGCCACATTCTCTCTTCTTACTCTTGAAATCTTAAGCAGAAAGTAATCCGTATTACACCTTCAAGATCATTTGATGATTGAACCCAGTCTTCCAGCTTCACAAGAGATTTAACATCTGATCAAAGTAAACTCTAGGCTAATTATCATGCAGTGCAAAATTCATATAGCCTGGTGAACTGATAAATAACCAAGTACAATTTTAAAATAATCCTAAAAGTTATTAATAGAACTATTTCAACAATCACTCTGCAAACTTGACACAGACTGAATTATACTAGATATTTAATCTTCTTCCAGAAAGAACCACAATTTCTGTTAGGGGCAAGCAGCCTCATTTCATTGTTCAGTCCTTCCTTTCAAATGAACTGGATCAAATTGGGTGATGACTGACGTATCTTCTAAGGCACCCAAAATTACTAAGCGTCACCTGGCATCTCTACAGCTATTCTCTGAATAGTGGCTTGTCTCTTACCTCAACTCCACAACCACCTGTTCTGCTCTTGGTCAACTTCATCATTTAAATCCTGTCTGAACATCACCTTTTAAAGCTTGAAAAATCACGCAGAACAAGCAGTCAAATGACTTCTAGAAAAGTTTCTTCAAAAACTGCTGTTAGGCCTGTGAACAATCATAGCTGATGCTGAATTTTGTAAAGCTTTTGCATAGGATCGTTAAGGACACTGCCTCATTGCTTTCTATTATTAAAAGTAGGTAGTTGAATTTCAGAAACACTATTTATTTTCCTAAGCACAGTATGACAAGTACAATCAAACACACCACACCAAGACCTGCTCATATGATCTAATGATTCTCTATTTTTAAATGTTTTTGTAAAAATTTTTAAATGTTTGTTTTAAATGTTATTTTTATGATTATTTAACTTGAGGTTACTGTAAGTCAGTATGTTTCCAACTCCATGTTCAACACAAATAAGAGATACAAGCAGCTGATGGCATAGAGATGAAAAGAATTCAGGCTTACATGTCTATATATGTCAACTAGTACTTGAAAATAAATTTTAAAAAATGGAAAAGCATGTTTCAACTTTAGTTACTGTAAATATACACATAGCTTAACTCCAAAACACATTCTTCATTTTTTTCCAATTATTATTTCACCACTGCTACTTAGGATGCAAATACAGTTATTACTGCAATAGGCTTTCTGTCAAACACATCATACATGTGTTCAGGAGGAAGGATAAGTCTTTGATTAAGACAAGATTAGGTTCTTAACAAATGCATGCTCCCAGCAATGTAGAGAAAACTCTGTAGTTTTAGAAACATCTTGATCCATCCTCTAATATTGTGGTTAAAACTAATCACAAGCCAATAAGATACTAAGATATCGGATAGTACACACATATTTCTAAAGGTGATCGGATCCCAGCCCTGCCCCAAGCTGCACAGAATTGCACAGAAGGGAGGAAAACAATCAAACACAACAGCACTGCTGTTTGCATACATCCACTGTAATAGAGTTTCTAACGTTTTAGTGGGGCTTTTTTTTGCCACCAGCTTTTACAGTCACACTACTATGTCATTTTCATTTTCCAAGATAAATAATTAGCTTTCACCATCATGAAAATATTAATCATCTTGTCCTGATTCCACGCAGAGGTCCAATACAACTAACCATACCTTCTTGTGATATACACCCAAAGAATGCTGTTCAGCCCAGTAAAAGATGATCACTTGTCAATCAAGAAGTAACAAATGAGATGGCACGTTAAAATACAAGACTTACGTGACCACTTAATGCTTTTTCACAGGAGTTCCATTCAAAATGGTCTGAGCATAAGTCAAGGTTGTGTAATGAGAAAAGCTGTCATCTGAAGAACCCTTGCACCATTCCGGAATAGTTTTGCTTATTAATTGGGCATCATTCATTGCAGGATTGAAAGAACAAAACATATGGGGAAGGGAAGCATGTAATAATGATCGTCTTTAATACTTATGCAAAGTAAATCCAAATTAAGATTATACATGCTGTACTCCTCTCTGGAGCAGCTAAGGAAAGCCATGAGAAGGAGAACCCACTTGTCTGTCGCCAAACCTATGCTGAAAAAAATTCACCTTTCTTGTGAAAACTGACAGAGACTCAAGTCTCTGAGTGAATTTATCTTACTAGATACATGAACTTAAGTGCTCATAACCTGCTACCTCAAAACAGGCAGAAGTAATGCTAGTCCATAGCACTGCAAGGCCTATGCTAATGTAAATAAATTGTCAGCGGTTCTAGCGTATTACCACACAGCTAAATAGAACACAACCTTGTCAGAAGCCATCATTGGGATAAGAATCTGACACTGTCAGAAGTAGTGCACAACTGTCCACATCACACACACTTCAGATTTTAGCTGCTGCCTCAGTAAACCCTCTGCAAAATGACTTCTGAAAAGCTCAGAAGAGGATGTTTGAGTGTAACAAGCAATTCTGTCAAAGACACCGTTTCCCACTGGTATCAGCCTGCAGTGGGGAATGCCTGCTTTAAAACTCAGAGCACACGGGGGCACTAGAGCATTCTGTGTAAAAAAAATCCCACAGAATTAAAAAAAAAAATCTGTCAGTAGATACAATAAGCGTTATTTTACCAGGAACATTTTCAGACATATGAACCACTGCAGCTCAATATCTCCAAAGAATGGAATGGGGGAGGGTGGCATTCAGCTGGAAGGAGCTTCACACTGGAATTTTCTTAGAGATCTGCAAGGACTCCAAGACATTAGGATCACAGCTATACAGAGAAAGGCCAACCCTTGAATACCGTGCTACAATATCTGCTGGGCCACTGGCACCAGAAACATTTCCCTCCAAGCAAAAGGGCTTCCCAACCCACAACTCCACTGCTGCCCTTCTGGTCAGTCACGAAGCAACATTAATGCACACCAACCAGGCAACACTTAGCAGCTTACCCTGACACTGCCCTTCTAGCTAGACTGCCCCAAAGCGTATAATCTGCAATTCAGAGAAGAGGGAAAAAAAAGAAAAAAAATTTAAAAAGCCAGAGACACTCATTTCAAGTATACAGGAATCCACATAACAGAAATTGTTTCATGTTATTTTCCTTCTATCATGTCCAAATTTAACTTCTACCAGAGCAAAGTGGCTATGCAAACCCAAGAAACCATACAAGACTACCAGTTGGAACAGGACATGTAGTAACAGGATTTACGTATTTCTTAATCCAGCCATAAGCCACCTTTTCTGGAACTTAAGTGATTGTCTACACAGTAGTCTTAAAAAAAAAAAAAAGTAAAAAGAACGAAAACAAACCTCAATGCCACTTTGTAACCTCTCAGATCTCTGCACTTAACAGGAAACCGTTAAAAGGAATATGTTTAACTCAGCACTGCTGATGAAACCGAACAACAACATTTTACTTGCAGCTCAAGAGGGATGTGGTATAGTTAACCAAAGCTACAGCTCTGCTTTGTGAACTGCTCTGTAATAGCACTGTAATATCCTCTGAGTAGAAGCGGAAGATCCATCTACATGGGCAAAGTGTAAAAACATTTAGAAAGAAACCATTAAGCAGGAGAGCAGAAAACCAGTAGGACTGCTTTCCTTAAAGCAATTAATGCTAATGAGTAAACTCATTACGAGCGAGGGGATAAGATGTGGGTTTGCTGCTGTTCAAAAGGAGTCTGCCGTATTTTTGCTCAGGAATTCAAATGACAACAATTTAAAAAAAAAAGCATATGGCACAGATTTAAGAAGGAAATGAAGAATGACTTATATTGTTTCGATTTTCATTACTAAAAATACTTCATAAGCACTAAATACTATGACTACCACAATGCTAGCCATTAGCACCTCTTTCACACAATGAAGGATAAAAAGCAGTACTATCTGAGAATATAACTCCTGACTCCCTGCTTGGGGTCAGAGGGCAAAGCCATCACTAGAGGTGCTTTACAGGACTTGATTCTCCTTTTCAGGTATCAATAATGCCACACAACGATGTTCAGCTACGCCCTTCAAACAAGCAAGTATAATAAAGAAACGGTTTACTTGAAGATATATACTCCAATGTACTGATCCATCACCTCCAGTCCTTCTAAAAAGCTCCACCTACCACATACACACATGTTGCAGTAGGAAATAGTCTCTGCCAGCAACTATCAATCTCATGGTAACTCCTTCTCCCACATCCCCAACTTACTTGATTTCGGTACTCCATTGTTTAAGTGAGAAATTGATGGCACTTGGTTGGACTGGTGCAGGTTGGGAAGCTGCTTGTTCCCCCACCAGGTCTGTAGGAGAAGTCTCCACAGCTAGAATATTTCTAGCTCTCTCTGCTGAAGCATTTTGACTTAGGATACTCAAATCTATTAAAAAAAAAAAAGAGAGAGAGAGAGAAAAAGAGTGAAAAGAAAAAATTGGCAAAACTTTCAGTACGTAAAAGAATAGTGGCTCTATGAAGTCATACACTAACCCTGCTAGTAATGTAGTTAGGATTTTACTTTAAATTGCAACATAACTTTATAAAATGCTTTGTTCAAATGAACTTTAAAAATACCAAAGTGTTTTCCTCAGTGAGGTCTCACTGCAGCCACATACTTCTGATAACAGGACTTGTGTCATGCTCATGAAGCATTATTTCACAAGTGATTTACAATCTCAATTAGTCAATACTGATTCATCTAGCTTAAGCAGCTATAAAGCCATAATAATTAAGATGGATTAATTACATTAATCCACAAAACTCCTTTGTAAAACAAGCTCAGGTCTATCAGAACTCCTAAGTCAGGAACAGTCTCACAAAAATACCGTGACACGGCTTTCAGGGCATGCTTCATCCTAGAAGTGACACTGCTGCTGCAAGTCAATGAGCTCTATGGAGCTGAGCGAGCTCTGTGCAAACCCAGCCTGGGTATTCCCAGAGCCAAGACCATTAGCATGGGCACTGCAGACACATCAGAGACCGGCTGGATCAGCGAGGATTTATTAGCTCCGGTTAAGCTGAATGTAGCTATACCTAAATTCATTCAGTCAAACTCCTGTGCACTTCAGCAAATCTACAGATGGGGCCCAGGGCCATGCAGACATACAGCTCAGGCCCAGCGTTGCACACGTGCCAGCAAACTCACGCAGGCTCTAAATAGCTCTACAGGAACCAGCCAAGAACTGGCGCTATCCCTGAGCCACAGCTAATAAAGTCCAGAGGATCCAAGCTGATCCAACTGAGCTGGCCAGGTCTCCAACATAGCACACCGTCCAACACGTACTGTAGAATCTGTAGTATGTTACCTCAGTGTTTCCATTATTCTGGACAGCTTGCTTTCTCCCTCACACCTCCTCCAGCAGGCAGGGAGGACAGGAAATGCAGACTATGGAATATACTATGAATAGCAAAAGCATTCTAGAGAAGCATAAAGAGGTTTATGGCCTTCTACAAACTCTCTGAACAGGGAGTTAAAAACAAGCTCAGATGTAATTGCCAGACTCTTTTCCGTATCTTTCACAAAGTACTGAAGTAGGTTAAGTTTTGAGAACAATCTCAGACTTGATTCAGCAATTATATTAGAAAGTAACACACTGGGTGGGCTTCTGACTTAAAGGATTCTCTGCAGGGAGGGAAAAAACCCTGGGAAACCACAATACCCTGTTTTATCACCGGTGAGTCTTTCCATCTTTGTTCTAATGAGTACCTGGAGCTAGCAGCAAGACCATCTTTAAGCAAGCTGTACCCTCCAATTACTCAGCAGATGATTACTGTTATTTAGCCCATATCAAAGATTAGAAGTAGAAGGACAGAACATTTTGTGATAAATACCACCAAATATAAAAGATCATTGACACTACGAACCTCTCAAAGCCTTGAAAAATAGTATCTGAAACAGAAGTAGATCACGTCATCTTTCACATATAGGTACAAATTAACACTGCCTTGACTTATTTTATGAACAGTGCTGATAGAAACTTCTTCAATGCCTTATTGGCCAATCTGATTTCAATTCTTTTGGACCTTGGCTGCTTGAGCTGAACAAAATTCAGCTAAGTTCGATAAAACTAACTTTTGATGATATTCACTGTCTAATAAAGGGGAAAGACAATACAATAGGTTTCAACTGAAAAAACCCACCACCATAAAACCAACCACCACCCCAAAAAAAAAAAAAAAAACCCCCCCACACCCCCCACACACCAAAAAGTTATGGGCACCCAAAACCAGACTGGAGTACTAACATTCTGCTTTCATACTTATACTTACAGCTTGTTTGATCTTCTACCTGTATGATTTGACAAGACTACAAAATCTCTTTACAGTATGGCCCACGTAAATGAATGCTCAAGAGGTGAATTTCTAATAAATGCATTTCCTCTAACAGACATGCTAATCAGTCTGGCTGAATCTTCTCTGCCTTCCTGAGGCTGCTCACTGTCCATGACCCCCTGCGAACACCAGCCGGCGGATTGGTTAGAGGCATGGACTACGCAGCAGATACTGCACAACAATGTAACGTGGCTGCTAATGCAATCACCACAAAAAAATACCTTGTTTTTAAACTTATTTCAAAACGTAGCAATCTTATAAATACATGACATACCATTTTTACTAATGCAAATCAAGAGTGGAGAATAGCATAATTAAAAACTGAAATTATAAAAATACATTAACATTCAATCAATTCCAAGGAAAAAAAAAAACAAAAAACACAAAACGCCATATCCTAAAAACAATAAATAATTTCTTTGACTTCCATCGTACCAAGGCAGCTCCATGACAAATCCTACAGAATCATTTTTGTAACATTGGCTTTCCCACAGCCCACTTTGGAAAATATTTTAAAGTATTTTTCACTACCTTGAAAATTCTTCAAAACCTGTCAAGCCTGATCCATAAAGCAGCACCTTAGCTTTACCTACATTCCAGTTAGTCTAGATTTCTAAACTGGGGGGGGAGAAGGATGATGGGACAAAACGGGCAAGACTACAGTGAGCAATTTTGTTTCTGGACTGAAGACAGACTACTTCCCCATTTAAAACATTAGTGATAGCACCTGTACTCAAGCACTAGCAAACCAATCCAATGTCTATGCTCCAGTATAAAGCACATCATCAAATGCACATTCACTTAGAAAAACCCCACAAGACTGATCTTAATCATCATTATGGAATCAGAGCCTTAACGAGTCCCTCAGTTCCATAAGAAATTTTTGGACTACTTGTTTAAAAGAAGAAACAATCACCAATCTTTCAGGCTCTTCACACTTTCCCCAGAAGAAATCCCTACTTAAACACTTCAGTTGATGCTAAAGTCATAACTGTGATTTGTCCTCAAAAATGAGATACTTTAGATGCAGTTTCAAATTATACATAATGCAGTTTAACTGCAGGCTGTCCCTCAGCTCATGCATTTCATCTTGGCATTCCTTGCACTGCAATTAATAATGATCATCACCACCACCACACAAATTGGTTCAGCTTGTTGATCCAGAAAGCCCGCAACAATTTGCAAGAAAGGAAAACACCAGATCAGTGATCTAAAGTGACTAGATTACAACAGCTAGATCTGATGCAAAACAGGGGCAAGGGAACAGTGTCTACACAACCTGCAGGGACAGCAGGTTCATGTCACACAGTACCCAGGCTCTGAGGGAAGTAGCACAAAGAACAGAGATTTGGGGCCAAGTTACACGTTACAGGTGATCTAATCCAACAGTTTGCTGCCAAAAGAGGGCAGTCCTGCCTACTCCTTTACTCTACCTTCCCTACTTGGCCACTACACCTTGTTCCCTCCCTTCCATCGGCTCTAGAAGTCTCCTGATTGCACAGTAACTGTATTCCACTCACTAATCTAGCAGGAAAAAAAAAAAACACCTTCCTTTTTGGCTAACTTTTGAGCTCAACCAACTCAGCACAGGGTCAGACAAATAGCACAAAACACACAGAGGAAGACTACAGCCTCTCAGTCTGTGCTCTGAAGGTAGAGAGGCAACAGTTTGAAAGAGCAAAAGCCTGTTACCCTTTCCAACACCTGCAAGCTGTTAGACCTTAGCACACCAATACATACATTCTTGCAGCACATGGTTTGACAAGCTGCTAACCAGGCTGTCTGCTGCCAGAAAGGTGGTCTCAAACCATCCCGCTCTGCATTCCCAACAATTCTCTTGAGGTAATCCCGGCACTCATCTGCCCCCAGAGTAAACCGCTTCACGAAGCTACACTCGCCAAAAACTAACCTGGAGAAAAAGATCTTTCCTGCTAGCTGTGCTCCCTGTGCTAGCATAAGGAAGGGCCAGACTAGCACCAATGAGGGGATCAAGGGAGGGAGCTGGGCATTTCTTTAAGCAGTGACTAACTGTTAGATTGGGGTAGAAACAGCAAGCTGAGCCCCTACAAAAACACATACTCTCAAGCCAGCTGTGGTTGAGCAAGCAGCCACAAGCAGACTGCTCTCAAATGAAAGCAGTAAACTGGGTTAGAGGACAATACTGCAGCATGGGACCTGAACCGGGGGAGGGGAGAGAAGGGCGGGGAAGAAGACAGCTTAACATTTCTGGGTTTACAGTATAAGCAAATTTAAATCAACAAAATACAAAATCTGTTGATGAAATACTTCTGACCTCAAGACTCTGTTTAAACCCAAAAGAGCTTTACTGATGTCTAACTTGGCACAGAACAGGATTTTACTCAGTCTTATTTATGGATAACAGAAATCAGCAAGCAATCCTTTTCTGTAATGATTCAGGAATAAAACAATGGAGAGTGGCTGAGCAACACAGTCAAAAATGCAGAATAACTTTGTACAATACACTGATACATTTTTATAACTGGCACTTAGTCTAATATTACATTTTACTTGGGTAAAGGTATTACGGAGACTGAATTTCACTTATTTGCAGTGCAAATCAGTGCAAACTGCCTTCCAGTTTTAAAATGCCGGAAATTTTTATCAGAGTCAGAGAGATCCACCACACCATACTCGTTCAGGAACAAAGTACGGTCATTCAGAATGCAAGATATACCTGTTCCCATTAAAAACTGGAGATTACATCTCAGGATACTTAACACACCAAGCTTTTAAAATATCGCAACCCCTAAAAGACAACTTATTTAACCTAAACTGTATTTTGCCACTTAATGAAACCTAGTCATAAGACTCCTCCATTTTACTTCGTTTTAAGAACATTTTAAAGAAACCAACAGGTTTCACATGAGAGACGAAATCACACATAAAATTACATTTATGTTAAATAATTTTAGCACCATCAACATATACAATGTTCACATAGTTACTTGATAACAAGATGTGACAGAAAACTTCCTACGACTATTCTCTAGCCCAGTGCTAAGCCTTGTGTAAGCTGGCTTACAGCTTACACCTAACAGAAACATGCACTCTGTTTTCACTCAAATTTTCAAACCTACCAGGGTTGTCTTTGGCAACGAGACCTTTGGAAAAGTCACTTGGTGTAGGGGAAGTTCGGCTGTCCCTTTTTGCTGCGTCAAGGTTGTTACAATATTCCCACCTCTTCTGCTGAAGTTCCTGAAGCCAGTATGTCATATCCTGACGAGTCGCAGCCTACAACACAGAGCCAGAGTGCGGGTCAGATCACTGCATCATGTCTTTGGTATACAAATATAGTAATTCCGAGTGCAATAAAAAAAAAAAGCACAACCCCCCGAACAATTAACAGACCAGCAAGGTATCATCACCCAAACCCAGTATGATTTAAAAGAAATAACCCCCAAGGTCCTAGGTGCATCTTGTGCACACATACACGTGCCTGGCTTTTATGCCAAAACCATTTTCCATTAGAAGTAGTCTCATGCATTTTTTTTAGCCAGTTTTACACGCAAACATTAGAAAATGCAGCAGCGGCATCTTATATTTTACACACAAAGCATTGTTTAAATATGAAACTACAAATCTGTATTATGAAAAAAAACTCCCATACACACTCATGAATATTCCCGTTGTCCTTTTTTATTACCAGCAGAAACCAACAAATTAATAATGCATTGCAATGCCTCCTACTTTAATGACTATATCTACATACTATATTACTTGATGATCCTATGAGCTAATTAACTTCTATAGAAAGGTCATATTTAAAACAAAAAACCCCAACATGAATATTTAATCTACAAGCCTACAGTCATTAACATGAATAGGTAATAACTGAACAAGAATCCAAACACACCTTTAAGATTCAGTAAAAATCACAGCTACGAGTCATTTCAAGGTGTGTCAAATGCCAATCTACAAATATTAACAAGAAACTAAGTGATGGTAACCGACATTGCAGGCGCTCACGTGGAAAAGTCTTTTATTCCAACAAGCATCCTCAGCTGCCAGTCTAGAACAAGCACCTCATACTAGTAACGTGTTCAGGAACAAAAAGTTAACACCTGTGACGAGACACTCACCTAAAGTCCTGGCTTGTAAGCACACAAAAAGCACTTGCCTTTTAGCCAGGCTTTCTCCTACCTTCTCCCAAAGTGCTTGATGGCCTTATCAATGAAAACCCTCCTTATCTGGACAAATGACTGTGTTTACTCTTTAAAGACAACTTAATTTCAAATGGCTTCCTGTTCTGTTTATCAGAACTGAAGAGGGTACCTATGCAGGGCATAGCTGCAAAAGAACGAAGAACAACAAACACCACAGATCTCCTTACAAAGGAAGTACAGTAAGTGCTGCATAAAGCACATAAATGGCAGAGATTTGTCTTCATTTTTGATATGAGAACGCTTTTGGTCTAGTCAAACTGATGATACATTTGTCATCATATTTTGACCCCAAGAGCAGCTAAGTACAAGACAGAGCATAAGCAACACAGCAAACAAAAACTGATGCTTCCCCAGGGTGCTCTCTCTGGCTCAGCAATCTGCCATCTTAGTGTTTAGTGCTCAGAGATAGCTTTTTATTTTACAGTTTGGCTTTCTGTACCCCTGTGAGCGTCAACATCCACATCATCCTATGACAAATGGCTCCGAAGCACTGTGCAAGGAAGTTAATCAGAAAAGACACAATTATTCCTGGAGCTGCTACTCCAGTTCCGCTCAGTACAGCGTACAAATGAGAAAACCTAAGATACATAAATCAAGTAATCATTCATAAATCAAATGAAGTAGTGAAATAAACCAAATAGCGATACAAAAGGACACTGCGGGTTCACTTTGCTCAGTTGCTAAGAAAGGTATGTATGCAAGATATTTCCAAGCTGAAACAAAAATGTTTCATGTATTTATTCTTTGTCGCTCACAGGAAACTGGAGGAAAACATTTCTCTCATGAGAGACATGGAAAAAGAATAGTTTAGAAGTGTCTGCGAGGTTTCTCAGAAAGCATCAAAGAACCGGACACTAGGAAACATCAATCCACACAGCCATCGCTGGCAGTTTCGGAATGACCACAGCAGCAGGATTCAAGTCTACACACTCGTCACTTTTTGCAAAGAGTAAATGTCTCCCCTCCTATTTCTAGAGCAAAAGTATTTCCTTTGGAGTTTTATCCAGTGGCAAGTCTTCCTTTCTGGTAACTTTAAGAGCCTACATGTCCTTTAGATAGACTTGCACACAGGCCTTGTAAAGCAAGGTTTACTGTGCTCCAGCAGAAAACCACCAAGAATTCAAAGAGCTTCCACTAACACGGGATGTAGTACTTAAGTGGTTCTCTTTGCTACCACAACATAGCTAATGAGGCAATTCACCTGGAGTCAATCTAAGTTACACCTACAATTAACTTCTGCCCACAACTAGTTCAAGTTAATGAGCCTTCCTGACAAGTTGTCCAGTTATCCTCTCCCCGACAGTCTTTAGAAAACCATGAATTGATTTTATTGGAGTTGCTCCTTGGTGTTGCTTTTAAACGGCACTTGTCCTCTGCTGAGCAGCACATACGCATCCTTCGTTTACAAGTGATGTCATCGTTACACATTGAGTCAGTTAGCAGTTAAGGTCCTTCACTGTAGAACAGGATAGCAAAGCAGTATGAGTTTCTCTCTCCCCTATTTGAAGTCATTTTCCCAAGAACTACTCAGTACACTCTGCTGCTGCACCCTGCCTGTTACTTCGCCTGCCTTCCTTCTCACACATGGTCTTCCTCCTCTTAGGGAGTTTTCCACTCCCTTCGAACAGTTTTTGCTGAGTTTATATAGGCTTCTTAATTATTTACAAGCAAAAGAGTACCCTGAGAATCTCTGCTGAGTTTTGTTTAAACAAAACTAATCTTTGAAGCTGCTTGTTTGAAATGGCCTTTTTTTCTTTAAAACCACACGTAGAATATTTTAAGTCTCCCTCTTCCCCCACTCCTAAACAAACGACAAATTTGCAAACATTTTTTAAATTCACTTTACCTGTCAAAGAAAGGAACACTTCCATGCTTGCCCCATGTCTCATGACTTCTCTGAGCATTTGGCTACTGCCCAGTATGAGAAACAGAACGTTTAATTAGGTGGAGCATGAATCAGATCTCGCAAAAAATCCTTACTTGTACTAAGGTACTGCATGGCTCTGCAGTAAGAAGGAACTTTAGCTAGTCACATTTTAACATTTTTCCTTCCGTGGGAAGGAAAACCACCATAGATGTCATCAGAACGGGTGCGAGATAAGGAGTTACTATTACAAACTTACAGGCAACAGTAGCAACAAAAGACACTGTAAGTGAAGAGACATACAGTCCCATGCACTTTTCAACACAACTGATGGAAAATTATTACCATTTACTTAAAACCATTCCCCTATTTTTTCCCACTAAGGGTGCTGCAGGAACTGCTGCCTTCTGATGCACACGTGACACAAAGAATTATTTGGGGAAAACAACTACCCAGTGGTATCCTCTACCTGGACCCACTGGTAGAACAGGTATGCCAATATTAAAACACTTTCAGGAAGAGTCCAAAGAAATGCAACAAACAGACCTGCCATTTTGAGGAAACTCATGAAAATTCTCACCACAACCCTTTTCTGACTGTAAACTCTCCCTCAAGCTTTTCTGTAAAGGGGAACATAACCAGAAAGTTTGAATTTCTTAAGATTTACTAATCCAGCTATGCTCAGACAACAAATTTGGAGCCAAATGGCTTTTTTTGGAGGGCAGCCCAATTCTTAATTAAAGCATTGTAACCACTAACCAGCAAATTTAAGAAAAAAAAAAAAAAAGGATCAGCTCAGAAAACAAATCACCTTCACTGCTGCGCTACCTTCTAAGCTGAGTTAGGCCCCAATGGTGTAAGGTCCTAAGGCAATATTATCTCAACTCAAGCGTCATTATTAATTACTGCCACATCCTGAAAGATTATTGACAAATTAGAGTAAAAGCTCCAAAATAATTCTTATTTCAGGAAGTTCAGTGTCCAACACTTTCAAGGATCTGGGCTCCAAAATCTGCAGTGTCTGGAATGCTTACCGCTTGGCCAATAACCCAGGAAAATTTTTTTCTTTAAGAAGCCTGTGCAATTTCTGTTCCGCTCCCCTCCCAACTCACCCCTTTTCACAAAGGGGTTATCCACACGTAAGTGCCTAGACATACAGTTTATCATCACTGGCCAGTGTTTCTTTGTTTCAAAAGCAAGTGAACTGTGTCATTACCCAAACAAGCCACTGCTTTAAAAATAAATCAGAAATGACCCCTTTGTTCATTTTTATATATTCATAATGCTAATTCTTTTCTCCATTAATAAGAGACCTCACTGCGCAAACACAGGCAAATATTCACTTGACTGTTTTACCAGCATTCTCTGTTACAGCAACTATTTGCAGGATCGGGTCCTTTCCATGAAAATATTCTCAAACAAATTCATCCATAATTCATAAAGTAAACAATTTTCTCTGCTTCTTTACCTCAAGTGATGGTACCTGTTATATATTTTAAATGGAAAAGCTTTTTACACACACTTAGCTTCTTCTAATGTACTTTGACTGTTGGAAATACATAGAAAAGCTACAATCATGCAAGTGTCAGGCTGGTTATCTACATTGCTAAATTATGAACAATCTGCTTTATTTGCTTTAAAGGCTACAGTATATTTTTTCCTGAAATTATTATTAAACTGAGAAACAAACCCCAAGTATATCATACAGTCCTCAGCTCCCATTAAATGACAAAGACCAAGCAATCCAAATGATGAAATCATTACATTAACAAAAAACTGAGGCATTATGAAGAAATAATGCATTCCTCAACAGCACCATCATTTCTATGTGGAATACCAGTTGCTTATGTCTTATGGCTCTTCTCAGCTTAGAGTACTGAACGGGACAGACCAGATCATGAGATCTGGAAATTTTGAACAAGCAGCAAGTTCAGGAAAACAAGGCATGTGAGTTACAGTGTAAAGACTACATTTGACTTGACTTTATGCCTCGTGCTCTGTGTGTAACATTTTCTTGACAGATTAAGCCACATTTGTTTTCAACAGGGGCTGGATCAGTCAGTGTGGAGGGGGTTGGGAGTGGTTTTCTTTTGTACTTTAACATCTTGGATTCATTCTTAATTCTATTTCTACCTCATTTAGCTGAAAGCTGTTTTTAAAGGCCTTGAAGAACTATCATGTTGGGTAAAAGAAAATGAATTCCAGCTGCA